CAGGATTTTGGGTTTAGGGTGTAGCAATACGAAGGGATTTTACAGGGTTTAGGGTTTAGGGTAATATTGGGATGATGGAAAATAAAATTGAAAGTATAGAGATGACAAGGAATAAATCCCTAAACCCTAAACCCTGATCCCTAAACCCTATATTTCTGGTATTATCTTGAAGCTTTGAGGACTTCATTGGTTTTGGGTTTAGGGTGTAGGGTCGCATGTTGAAGCTGTACAGATTCAAGCTTTACAGTTTAGGGTTTAGGGCTAGGGTTCAGGGTTTAGGGTTGAGGGCTTAGGGTTTGGGGCTTAGGGTTTAGGACTTAGGGTAGCATTTGGAAACGGTCAGGAGTCCGGGCCCCCAAAAACGTGGGCTGATGGTAGGTTGAAGTTGAGCTTCACATATGAGATAACCCCACGCCCTAAACCTAAAACCCTAGACCCTAATCGCTTAAACCCTAAACCCCGAACCCTGAGCCCTAAACCCTAAGCCCTAAATCTTAAATCTTAAACCCCCCTGAAGGATTGCTCCAGATCGATCCTGCACCGTTGTCGGTGGTTGCCTACTTCTCGGGCGCAACTCCGACCCTGGGCCGCCGTTAAAGGACTTAAAGTAAGTTACTATAATCAATGTATATAGGGTTTAGGCTTTAGGATTTAGGTTTCGGATTTAGGACTTAGGTTTCGGGTTTAGGATTTGGGCCACAGGGTTTCGGGTTTAGTGTTTAAGCAACCCAGGACTTTCAAGATCAAAGCCCCCGTCTCCAGCTTCCAGACACCTTGGTTTACTTGCACAGACTTGAACATCCTGTTATCCACGTCCCCGCCGGCACTGGCCCTCCAGGGGAAGATGGAGGTATCTGCATGACATTTGGGGTTTAGGGTTCAGGGATTCAGGTTTTAGGGTTTAGGGATTAGGGTTCTGGGTTTAGGGTTTAGGGATTAGGGTTTAGGGTTAGGGATTAAAAATTAGGGTTTCGGGTTCAGGGCTTAGGAATCTAAATATGTATCCTGCCCACCTACATCTACAACACCTTTCAGGGCTTCTGCAGTTCGGATTCCCAAGATCTCCCATGCTATTGAATGACCCCCCCCTCCCCCCGCCTAACCCTAAACCCTAAAAACCCTAAACCCTAAAAACCCTAAACCCTAAAAACCCTAAACCCTAAAAACCCTAAACCCTAAAAACCTAAGCCCTAAACACCAGACCCTAAATCCATAAAAACCCACC